TGGGCCTTCTTGTTGGATCTGGATCTGTTTTGAGCAGAGTTTCGCACTCTACAAATAGAATTCCCCTCTAGTTCCCGCAGGTTAACAGTTGTTCGGGCAGTCGTTCACAATGCTGAAACGCAACGGGGGCAAGTGTGGTGGGTCTTGTGCTGGGTGCTGGAGAGTCTGGCGGTCTCATGCCGTTATCCGTCTATGATGTTGCCCGACGATTTCATCAAGTTCGTCGGCATCCGAACTTCGCATGAAAGCTGAAGACGGATCTGAACAAGTGTGGATACCGGCTGACTAGGTGTGCGTGAACATGATGTGAAGAACTGCCGGCGATTTCGTCTAGTTCGCCCGTTTCCGGATTTCGCACAAGCCTGAGCACGACGTGAAGAAGTGCGGATGCCGACGAACTTGTCGTGTGTTCGTGTAGTCCATTTTCATGTTCGTGCGTTGTTGGTACACGTTCGGTGTGCCTTCTTGTTGGATCGAGTCAAGCAGTCAACAAACCGTCTCACTGTCAGTGACTCTCTTTATCATCGCGTGCCGTTATCAGCCCTCGCCAATTGCTTGCAAATTCGTTTAGCTCGTCGAGATCCGAACTTCGCACAGATGCCTCTTTTCTATGTTGATTTGGGTGTCGATACCGTTGATGTGCTATGGTGGTGCGTGGCATGTGGGTCTGCGGAAAACGGACCTCTGTGCTGGGGTGGGTAATTTATGTCTTCCGTGTGTTGGGTTGTTTTGGTATCTTGGACTGATGCAGACACAATGTTGACGTCAAGGGGCGAGGAGCAACTGACCGGTACCTCAAGGAGGGAATCACGGACCTTCAAATCGTGGTCGTATCATGTGCATACCAAATGGTTCGTCGATTGGTGCTGCGGGGATGAGTCCCAACCGACCAAACCTCCGTGCGGTCCTGTTATATTCCTCGAAGAAAAAAAAAGGCATAGAGTTCTTAGGGTGGTGGCCAGATGGCACCCTGCTAAAAAGAAAAACACGCAACATTATAAGTTGCACATTGTTTACAGTTCGAAGGGCGATGTTGTTACCAATTCCAAAGGGGCGGTTTTGTCTTTCGACATGTTCCAAGGGTTTGGGGCGGGGGCTGTGAAGACCCCTTTCTACCAAGATCTCACAGTGGGAGGTGTTATTTCGGCCTGGGAGTTTTTTGACTTGGTGGAGCAGAGGAACATCGACTAGCGGAACTCTGCCACGTTCAAGGCGACCAAGAGTTGTCGCAGCCTCTTCAGATGTGCACCGGCTTCGAATCTAGCGGTGCTCCCACGGAAGGGGGAAATTTGGGTTCCGGTCCTTCTTCCCAACTCCACCGGAGCGAGGCCCGTGGTCGCTTCGACGACAGCGACGACGAAGAACAGGAGCAGATGCCTAGGCGGGGAGACCGGTCTGTCCTGAGTATTCCTGGGGTGGAAGGACACACCCGGTTCACGACCGGCCGTCGACATCAACCAGGGGGGAAGAGGAGGGTGTACATCAGTCTACGCATAAGAGAATGAGGAGTCCTCGGGAAGAGGGTGCGGGTTCTACAAAGAAACATAAGGCAAGGACCCCCCAGGCGACGGGGGGGGAAAGGAAGGGAGTTGAGGGGCAGGAGGGTGCATCGGATCGGAAATGTCTGACGTCGGTGCCGAAACAACCTCAGTCGGGTGCTCTCGAGGTGAAGGGTCCCATCGACATCGACACCACGTACTTCCTCGAATTGAAAGACGGTGTGCGGACAAAGCGGGAGTTCTTCATTAGCCCATCGAGGGTCGTCGATATTGGTGATTGGGAAGCGTCATACAACCAACAGTCGCTAGATACCGTGCACACGCAGCTCATCATTGACGCGATGATGATGGCCTTCTCGCAAGTCGATAAGACGTACGAGTTGCCTACCCTTAAGCTGGCGCCATTAGGGCTGGAGAAACCAAAGTCGGGCGTGTGGGCGGATCATCTGAAGCCAGAGGACAGGAAGGACGAGATCACAGGCCAATACTATTATTACGCTGTTTCCAGCCAGCACAACTCAGCTGCAGCCAAGGCGCTGCTCAGCACGGACGTCACATTGAGGTACAACTTCGAGAGGTGGCCTGCACGTATGGTTTTCTTCTCAGGCAAGGAGTTCGAAGGGTATTTTTTGGTAAGCTTGGAGGACAACAAGAAGGACTTGAAGGTGCCTCCTAGACAGCTGAAACTATCAATGAGGGACATTTGGTGACTATGGAAGGAAAAGGGTTTCCCAAAGGCTGTTATGGGGAACCCCAACAAAAAACAAGCTCACGTGCAGAAATGGCGTGAGTTCTGTGAGCAGGCGCTTCACAAAACGCCTTACTACCACTTATGGATTCTCGCTGATGCGAAGGGCGAGAACAACATTAAGAAGCTGAACGCTGCCCTTCGCTCTTATTTTCCGTTGGTGATGGTTGGAAAAAACGCGTGGGAGTTGGGTATGAAATTTTTCGAGAAATGGGAGACGGGGAGACTTCTGGCACCCGAGGGGGCGAAGTGGATCACAAAGAAAAGGAAAGTGAAGGACGTCAGGGGCCCAGCTTAGCCACACCGAAAACGAGAAGTTGGGGCGAAAGGAGGTCGTCTAGAACGTCCCCGTCGAGGCGCCCCAAAAGAAAGGAAAGAAGGAGAAAGAGCCTGGCGATTGGTTTGTCCAGGTCACCGAGCTGGATCCGCACTGCTGGAAGAGCATGGAACAACAGAAAAATTTCCCAGAATTAAATAATCATTCTATAGTAAAATTACATTCTAAATTTTAAATTTTCATTCCATCTTAAAAAATGTCATTCCAATTTTAAAATTTTTCATCTTACTTGAAAACTTTCCTTCCAATAATGGGGTATCCCTTCTTATTTGAACTGGATGCTAGAGATGGAATGAAAGTCTGGATGTGAAATATTTTAATTAGACTGATATTCTAAGTAAGGATTTCCAGTCATAAATAGGTTAATCCAATCTAAATTAGAAGATATTTGTTGTAGTAGAATGAAAGTTTAATTAAAATATTTCATAAATTCGTCCAGACTTTCATTCCATCTTGAACAAATAGATGTAGTTGGAAGGGAAAACTCATATTTAGACGGAAACTTATCAAATAAAACTGAAAATTTTAGAATTGGACAAACATTAGAATGATAATTTATAAATATGAAGGATTTTTTTTTTATGGAATGTTTTTTCAACTTTCATTTCTCGTGGGAATTTTTTTGTTGAAGCCCTTACCGACAACGAGAAATGTCGGTTGCTCAAGAAGGTCCTCAACTACGAGGTTGTGTGGGTCCAAACAAGCTCTGCTTCATTGGCGAAGCAAGGCAAGCTGGGAGTGCAGGAAGCAGTGCACCTGCTGAAGTGTGATCGCATCTTGGTGCGATTGTGGAACTACAGTTTGTGAACTACGAGAACCGGCCGGATACTGACTGGACACGTGCGTATCCCTTCCTGAAGAAGTGGGAGGCGATTTTGGTGCAGTTCGAGAAGCAGGGAATGAATGCCGCGTTGTGGGACGGGAGGAGGAAGCTCGTCGGTGACGCCTCGCTGTTCAAGGACTGCCTGCCGTACATGGGGTACGAGGCCGACAAAACGATCAAGGCGACGGAAAAACTCGCCCAAAACAAGAAGTTGTCCGCCGACTGGAAGAACAAGGTCCTCTCCGTGCTGACCGGCAGTAGGGCGAAGAGCATGGAGGTCACACTTGCCAAAGGCGTGGTGCACGTTCTGTGGAAAGACTCGGGGGGCGTGACATCGATCGCACCGTTCGGCGTTGACCCTCTGGAGGCGCATATGAGGGTCACGGAGTTGGAGAAAGCGGTTGGGACCACCAAATGTCACACGTGCGTTCTCGATCTGCGCGAGCTGGTGGACTTCAAACAGTGGACGCCGAAAGCTTTCGAGAGTTTGAATTCCCTCCTAGAGCAATTGTTTCCGTCACACTGGACGGTCGTCGCTTTCGTCCCTCTCCAGTGGGACTACTCCTTCATGACCAGCCTGCGCCATCTGCCAGTTGTGAAGGCAATGGCAGGGAAGTGGGTGAGGAGGACGCAGCAGAAGAAAAGTTTTCCAGTGGGGAACAACTTGTACTCGGCTGACGACCTCATGTACATTCTCTTCAAAGGTGACGATTTGCGGGAGAATACTTGTGTCGTCTACGATGCTAGGTTGTCGGCAGGTGATGCTGCGGCTGTCGGGGTACATCAGAAAGTGACCCCGACAGACATATCGGAGACTCCCTTCGACCCTTGCGAGTTGTCGTCGGCCATGCCTGGAGTTGACAGGAAGATCTACAAGGACATGGAGTGGAACCCCACACAATTGGCCCATCTACTGGAATTTGTGTGCAAAAAGGGGGAGGGCGTCATGTTCATCAGCAAGCCGCACGCACGAGTCGTGTGGGAGGTTTTGAAAAGCGGTCGACACGTGGCTGCGCTGGAAGGGAATTCTAAGTTGTTGCAATACACGTTGGAGTTCCTCAAAAGCGAGGTCAACTCTGGAGCCAGCCGCTGCGAGTTCGTTTCGAGGAGCGAGAAATCAACACGCGTTCGGGAACCGTTTACGGACATGTGGTTTAAGTTGAGCGAGCGGAAGAGGAACAGGATCTACGAGTTCCTCTTTTTGGAAACGCGGCCCAGGAGGGACAATGACGATGAGTACATGCGCCGCAAGGAACACATGTTGGCATTGCTGGACAACTACCTTTATGCGTCACGCAAGAACGCAAAGAACTTCCTCGGTCGGCTGGAGTGTTTGTACTACGTCGAGTCCGAGCAGGTGCGGAAGCTCGAGAGTTATGGTGCCTTGATCTCCACGGAGGACGAGGCGGAGACAGGCGTTGTTTTCGACACCGCTACGCCCAAGGAGGACAGCGACAGGGAGGACATCGACATCGATTACCATCCTGCTCCGATGTTTCATGCCTCGTCGGCCGGTCGCTCAACAAGCCAAGCCACCGTGGCGTCGCCTGTGCTCACGTTCACCCCGGGTAAGACCCCGAGTAAGCTGGCGGCGAGACTGACGCCTCGGCCTGCCACCCCGCCTCCGTTGCGTCCCGGGA